GCCAGAATGCAGCCCAGATTCGGTTTCTATAAACATTTCCTTTTCAGAAGATATTTTCCGTACTAATTTTGTGAAAAATAGTGAAGCAGAAAGCAGCAACATTGCTTCAAATAATTTGATCATTATACAAATTAAATCAAGCAGTCAAGCTCGTGGTAGAAATATTAAATAGTCTAGATACTTTGATTATTACAAACTAAATGGAGCAACCAAATACGTAGGCAACATTGCCCAATCTACATATTTTGAATCTTTCTGACCAATGAAAAGGCACAAACTGGCTCTTATTGAACTATCTATCTTATATTGAAAGTGCATGTCAAAAACGTATAAATAATCTTAATATTATTTATTTCTCTAAATTGGTGAGTAGCCATCATGGCTTCTCCATGAGACGCAATACAGTGTCATGGGCAAATTCTTCAACTTGGTGACGTTCGACTTCATCAACAAGCCGACGATTATGTAGGCCTATAAACAAAAAAAACTTTCAGATTAGTGCTATATCTGAGAAATTAAATCAATGAATTATCCCAAAAGAACCTCACCTTGAAATGCATACGCCTGATTACAAATACAAATAGGACAGAATACCATTTGGTTGAATTCTAGTGGTCATTCCACCTATAATGCACGAGTAAAAAAAATGTAATAACTGAAACTTTAATTAGTCAATAGATACGAGGACATGAGTAATGCAGTACCTCTCCTTCTATTCATTTGTACATGGAGGGCAGCTAAAGTGCGCAACTCTGATATCGCTTGCCGCCATTCAAATATGTGACGCAATAGTTGTGGTTCCTTGACGTTTATTATGATGCACTTGTACCTACAAGTTACTAAATTGATTAGCATCGACCAATGATAAAAATTTTAATCTACTACTATCTTTCACAACTGAACAAATACCATTCATTCATCACCACCACACGTCTGTAAGGACGTATCCGGAAGTCATCCCTTTCTTGGATATCGGACACATATATAACCATACCAATGACATCTACAAACACAAACGATAGGTATTGATGGAGTAGGAGCATGAACAGTTAACTACATGATTTTAAATATAGGCGTATGAGATATACCTGCAAAAATGGACTCATCCTGATCGTATACATCCTCGATTTCCATAAAGGTACGAGGACACTGAGTATTCCAGATAGTTCTCTGTGGTGCATTAACCATAATTTGTGGAGATAGGATGACATAGTAGTCAGCACATAAACAGAAAATGTAGCGCAAGCGATCAACATAAGTAGGCGCAAAGCCAACTCTCATGAAGTCATAAGTTCCTAGACCAAGCAAACTGTCAAACCTCATGGTTTGATTGCGTAGGCAACCACTTCTGTTTTGGTTCTCTATAACAACATTGTAGCCAACAGATAGATAACAATTGTCTGTAGACAAAAATTTTAGACATGGTCTAAAAAGATATGCTCTGAATGCACATGCTCATCCACCATGAGGTTCAACAGTTTTCTTGGTCTAGGAGAAGCTTATGAATTCATGAGAGTTGGCTTTGCGCCGATCACTTGCGCTATATTTTCTGTTTATGTGTTGACTACTATGTCGTTCTATCTCCATAAACTATGGTTAATGCACCATAGAAAACTATCTGGATTGCTCAGTGTCCTCGTACCTTTATGGAAATTGAGGATGTAAACGATCAGGATTAGTCCGTCCATTTTTGCAGGTATATCTCATACGCCTGTATTTAAAATCATGTAGTTAACTGTTCATGCTCTTATTCCATCAATACATATCATTTGTGTTGTCATTGGTATGGTTGTGTATGTGTCCAATATCTAAGGAAGGGATGACTTCTAGATACGTCCGTACAGACATGTGGTGGTGATGAATAAAAGGTACTTGTTTAGTTGTGAGAGATAGTAGTAGTTTGAAAATTTTATCATTGATCGATGCTAATCAATTTTGTAACTCATAGGTACAAGTGCATCATAATAAACGTCAAGGAACCACACCTATTGCGTCACCTATGGAAATGGTGGCAAGTGACATCAGAGTTGCACACTTTAGCTGCCCTCCATGTGCAAATGAATAGAAGGAGACGTACTGCATTACCGATGTCCTCATATCTATTGACTAATTAAACTTTCAGTTATTACATTTTTTGCTCGTGCATGATAGGTGGAGTCCACTACTGAATTCAACCAAATGGTATTTTGTCCTATTTTATAGTCAGGCGTATGCATTTCAAGGTGAGGTTCTTTTGGGATAATTCATTGATTTAGTTTCTCGGATATAGCACTAATCCAAAAGTTTTTTGTTTATACGCCTACGTAATCGTCTGCTTGTTGATAAAGCCGAACGTCACCAAGTTAAAGAATTTGCCCATGACACCGTGTTGCGTCTCATGGAGAAGCCATGATGCCTACTCACCGATTTAGAGAAATAAATAATATTGAGATTATTTACATGCTTTTGAGATGCACTTTCAATATATGATGGACAGGAATTTAGTTCAATGAGAGTCACTTTGTGCCTTTTCATTGGTTAGAAAGATTCAAAATATGTAGACTGCGCAATGTTTGTCTACATATTTGGTTGCTCCATTTAGTTTGTAATAATCAAAGTATCCAGACTATTTAATATTTCTACCACGAGCTTAGTTGCTTCATTTAATTTATATAATGATCAAATTATTCAAAGCAATGTTGCTGCTTTCTGCTTCACTATTTTGAACAAAATTAGTATGGTAAATATCTTCTGAAAAGGAAATGTTTATAGAAAAACCGTCGAATCTGAGCTGCATTCCGGCCCAACACTCAAATGTTGCCATCGAGTTCACAGTTATTGTCGCCATTATCTTCTTCTTCACTACTATAAAGGAACACTCAAAATTATCCTAGGTACACCCCAGAAATTATCACCCGCTGAGACGTCCCAACCACTGTACACCAAGAAAATTGTACCCAGGATTCCAACATTTATTATCTAAATATTATATGTGGTAACCTTTTTCCTAAAAAATGTGTATATCTATATGCCTCCTATGCTAACACATAAATATTATAGTGCGACATGATATTGTCGATATATGACGCTAAGTCTTGGTTCCACATGCAATCAAATTGTGAACTATTGGCCTTGACAAAACTATTATTTTTGGAAGTATGCTCAGAGTCAACCATAAAAACAGTAAGTAATTGATTCATCTCAATCTCTAATACAGCAAATTGATTATTAATTATATATATAACTGAGATATACAAACGGTCTACAAACTGGCCATGCATTTAGTGTTTGCAAATGTCGGGTTATACAACTATAGTATTCAATCCACCTCATCGTGCAATGAAGGAAAACTTCAGGGTGACTATATCAAATACAAGATCTACATACAAAAAGAAGTAATCTTGTAATCTATATATTTTTTGAAAGATAATGTTTACTAAAACATTTCATATCAATGATTGAAAGTATAAGTCATCCGACAGACATTGGTCATGGGGGCAATGGATGTCACATTCATCAATAGATTTGATGAAAGGCGGTGGAGGTACTTGGCAACTGTGGTCTAATAATTATGTGACGATATTAGACAAATTGATTATTTATAATATAGTCTTAGGTTTACTCTACTTTGCACGGTGCTACTCTACTTTGCACGACTTGTTGTATATTTGCAATGTGATGTGATATTTATTATTTCAACTGTCTCATTGCTTCCAATGTGATATCTATCTACTGCAATGTGTTTTTATATTGATATATTAACTTTGGACTTTATGTCCACGCAAATTAAAGTACACAACAATATATCTAGTGCACTAAAATCCAAGAAGGAAAAATCCGATTGGACTCTGATAGCCTAAGTCCAATTTTATATAGGCCTGTGAAAAAAGCAAATATCAAAAGTCATATGTACTTTCCACCAGCAACATAGCAATGTGCAAAGAAGTTTTAATAATGTCCAAGGTTTTAAATTATATAAACTCCGTCAGTGATACTGCTACCTTAGAGTAAGTCACCAGTATTACATGTATCTACTATTCAAAATTGACATTTTCCTTTAATCATATGCATATTCTTTTTGTTTTGCTACAGGGCATTTGGGAAGAAGTCAGTTGACTCGTTGCAAAAGACTGAGATATGCGATTTTACGATCTATGGTTTGCCAATGGGTGAACAAGAGTTAAAATACTAATTTTGCAACTGTATCATGATAACTGATCATGATCTGGCTTTAGAGTAAGACTATTCTTGATTAAATATTCAAGCATATAAGATTTTTATCATGATCTGGCTTTAGAGTAAGATTTTTATGCCACTAGAAACGATATTGTGCAATTTTATTCTTTTTGTTGTACACAATTCAACAGAACTCTCTAACATATTAGACCCTAATCCTTTAGGTGATGCATTCAAGATTCAACCGCTAAGAAAATATGCAGTCAAAAATTCAACGGGTTTCACTGTCCTAAGTCATGGAAATATCTTTCCCTTGGTGGAAAGATGATTTTTGGCATATGGTGTGTTAGAGCATCGTAAGGATTAGTACATTTTTTTGCCTGATAAATACAATTTTTTGTCAGTTCTGTATTGATAGTTGAAGAAAGGCAGGCCTGGTGTAGTGGTGAGAGCTGTCTCACTGAGTCACCACGTCGTGGGTTTGAAGCAGGCTCTCCGCAGATTTTGTGGGGCGAAGGCTTTGCCTCGGTTTTTCCTTCCCTAGACCCCACTCATGTGGGAGCCTCCGGCACTGGGTCTGCCCTTTTGTATTGATAGTTGAACCCATGCTCATGTACATGTTTATATTAGTTAAATAGTCATGTTTTGAAGAATATTCACCTTTGTCAACTATCTATTCAGCAGTACTATATGATAATCAGATAATCAACAGCTGTTCTGTCTTCACCTTCTCATTATTTAATGAAGAATTTTTGTTTAGTACTGGTTATCAGAGCAGTAACAATATGATAGTAAAATAGCCAGTGACTTGCCTTTCCCTTATAATTGTTTGTTTCTTTTCACAGGGTCTTGTTCCTCGGGCAAAGTTACTACTATCACTTGGCAGTACCTTCTTTCTGGCATTTGGGCCCCTGATTCTTGTCACCGTTTCTCTTTTTGCTGGTTTATATGTGGTAAGCCCCTGCTAATCCCACCTTTCATATGCTAATAATGCATGTTCGCTGTCGATATGTGCTCTGTTCTTAATGTACTTTCTGCTTCGTGCATTACCTGACTGCTAATCTGATTATATGTTTTAGCATAATTGAACAAAATCCATTAAATTCGATACAGATCTGTACACTGAATGGTGCAGTTTCACTATGTTGGAAAATAAGGAAATCAAAATACCGTTGTTTTCAACTACTGCTATTTTGTTGTTGTTTACTCATCTGGAATATGCACAGTAGCTGTATCTAGCTGACAGTTTTTACTGATGATCTTAGATGTATGTATACCAGATTGTCCGCATGGTGATTGACGTGGTTTCTTGCATGTTGCAGTACTTTGGACCGAGTTTTGTACACGATGCAAGCAAGACACCGGTGTCGCTGCCACCGTACATTGATCCATACGAGCTACTGGAGGACGAGAGGCTCAGCCGGCCCTCCCCAGATGTGTTCTGAACTGAATAGTGCAAGAACTAGTGCAGAAGCGATTACAAGAAATAGTCATACATAGCCCAACATTCTCTTTTTTTACTAGACGTGTAGTTGTAAATGCAAATATAGCTGTAGACTGTTATAATCAAACGTTTCAATACGCAGTGTTCCATTGATTTCACGTCAACCTTGGCGCCCATGTCTCAAGTCTGAACAGACTGAAATCTTCCGTGCGCTGGAAGCAAATCATCAATTTTTATTAGCTAGTACTAGTGGCCTTGTTTTATTAGCTGGTTAAGCAGTCTCTATCTCCTGCATGTTCCCACGAGTCGGAGACAGAAAACTATAGAAGTGGATGAGGTGGGCGCCCTACTCCACTTCGAGTACTTATTTAAAATGCATTCCAAATGAGCTCAAAATATTATTTTGATTTTTTGATTTTAAAAAGGTGTTAAAAACAGTTTGCTTTGGCTTCCAAACTTTGAGTAAAAGCAGTTTTAAAATGGGCTTAAAAAGATATGGTTGAATAGGGAATTTCCAAAATTTGTTATAAAAGTTTGAGAGTTTGTAATTTTAAAATTGTGGAAGTGACCAAAATCCTGTGCTTGACCCATCATTTCGGAAATGATACGCCACGGGTGTCTGTCCTGTCCGGACGGACTGCTCGCGTCGTCCACTCCTGCTCAGCACGCCCCACCCACGTCGCCCAAGCCGTTGCTCCGCACGCCTTGCCCGCCCGCGCCCTCATCCACCTCACCCCGTCATGGAAGAGGAGGCAGGGGAGGCCTGCGCCTGCGCCCCCATCCACCTCGCGCTATCGGCAGGAAGGGGAGGCCTGCGCTACCGCAGTTCCCCACCAGGTAGGTTGTGACTGCCAACGACGCTGTGTTTCAGGCGTTTTCGGACTTGTTGTAAGGCTATGTTTCAGTTGTTTCAGACGTATATTTCAAGTGTTTTATCTGAATGTTGCATATGTTGCTACGTCTATACACGCATGTTTCAATGAAAGTAATACGCCATGGGCGTCCGTCCCTGTTCAGACGGACAACCCGTGTTGCGCGCGCCTACTCGGCACACCCTTGCTCGCTCCTGCACGTGCCCTCACCCACTTCGCCCATCGTGGAAGAGGAGGCAGGGGAGGCCTGCGCATGCGGCCCAATCCACCTCGCGTCGTCGGCAGGAAGGGGAGGCCCGCACTACCGCAGTTCCCCACCAAGTAGGCCGTGACCGACAACGATGCTGTGTTTCAGGCGTTTTTGGACATGTTTCAAGTGTTTCAGTTGTTTCAGATAGTGTTTCATCTGGATGTTGCATATTTTGCCATGGCTATACACCATGTTTCAAGCATATGTTTTAAATGTTTTCAGACTTATGTTGCAAGTGTTTCATCTAGATTTGGTCCATCGTTCTAGGGAGCTGCACTTGGACTCATCTATTGTTGTGTGTTTGGAAAATTTCTTCTCCTGGTGGCTGCATGCCAGGAAACGGGTGCTAAAGGTGGCGCGTAGAGTATTTGACTCATTAACTTTTCTCATTGGTTGGATGATCTAGAAAAGAGCGAAACGAGACGACATTTGGTGGGATATCTACGTTGTCGGCACAGTTACTGGTAAGGATTGTCGAAGAGGCCAAGGAGTGGTCCTTGGTGGGGTATGCTCATATCCAGACGATACTAGAGCTACTGTAGGGGTTGCGATGTGTAGCTAGTCGCTCATCGTGTTGTGTAATATCGCTTGTTTGTTATTGTGGTGGAGGTTCTATTTGGGAATCATGCGATTACCAATCAAAATGCTTGTAAGTTGAACTTGGCTCTTTCCGCTTCCTCTTAATGAAAAACATGCCACTTTACACGGTCGTGAAAAAAAGTGTTTCATCTGGATGTTGCAAAAATAGATCTGGATGTTGCATATATTGCTATGGCTATACATGCATGTGTTTAAGAGCATGTTTCAAGTGTTTCATATGTTTCCAGACGTATGTTGCAAGTGTTTTATCTGGATATTGCATATGTTGCAAATGTTGCAAGCGTATGTTCTAAATGTTTTATCTGTTTCAGACGTATATTGCAATTGCTTTATCTGAGTGTTGTAAAAGTAGATCTAGATGTAGGTGTGGAGAAAGCCTAAGCCCTCGATGGTGCAGCTGCTGTGACTTCCTGGTATGGTGAAGATGGAAGCCGCTGACACGAGAGCGCCAGAGATGGGATGCCGCGGCAGATCGGTTGGGATGGGCGTGGGCACGACGCATCTGGTGGGGTGGGACGCAGGCCTCTATTCTGCGTGCGTCGGACACAGGCTCAAGAAGGTTGGTCTAGACGGTTGCTGCCTTCGGAGCAGGAATGAGTGCGGGGCGTGCGTCGGGCGCGGGCACGAGAGCAGTGTGTGGACAGACACCGCGTCCGGACGACTAGGCGCTAGTCGATCCGTTTCTTTTTTCCTTCCTCGCAAGACAATGTCGTGGGCTTGGTGGGTTCGGCATTTCCCCTATGTTGCAGGGCCTCCTTGCACTTGGGCCGGCACGTTACTTCGGCCTAGCGACAAATCCTCCCAGCGCCAGAACTCCAGAACCCCTTCTTCCCCTCCGTTTGACGGTGTGACCGAGTCAGAGCGGGCACGCACGCCAAGGCCGAGTCTCCACATCATTAGGAACCCTGCGCAGTGCCTGGCCCACATCTGCTTCCTCCGCATCTGCATGGATTAAATTGGGCGCCCCTGTTGTTTCCAAACCTCACCGTCGCCGCCTCTGATCTCACCGCCCACCGCTTCTCCGCCGTCCATAGCACGAGGAGGATTATATTCCGGCCGTGTCCGCCGCCAAGATTGATGCCATCGGCCGGGCTCGCCATCTTTCGTTGCTGCCATGTTGCCGCTCCACACACCTTGTCATGCGCCTCAACAGGAGATCGTCGTCAGACCATGCGCGCTGCCGTCTGCTAGGCGCCATGGTCGATCGGGCCTGCTCCCGTGACCAGAGAAAGGAGAAGCCCCTCTGACCGTTCGATGGAACACCGATGGCCAAGATCGACAGCTGACCGAAGTCAGCATCACCGATAAACCAAGGAAGAGCCGGTCAGCGCCTGGCGTGTTTGCAGAAAAGGTCCCTGCCTCTCTAGTTTATCTGGATTTACATATGAAAATGATGTGTGTGTCTTGGTTGCTTTTGCGAAACCCTAAAATCGTAGTTTTCTTTGGCAAAAATGCCCCTGAAACCTTGTTTTAATCATAACTTACACGTTTTAAATCTATTTTTTTGGATAAAACTGGTACTCATCACTAGATTGTAACAATGTATAGTATAGTTTTTCATGATTTAGTGCTGTTGTTGTTAATATGTTTGTTGTGCGGTTTTATTTATTTACTGTTTGTTTCCTTGTATGCATGTACCGATTGAATGCTCGTGTGTTCCCAGTTCGTTACTCTTAGGCGGAGAGCAGTTTGTGATCATTGAAGACCAAGCATTTGAAGAGTATGATTTGCAGCAGTTTGGAGAAAGGCAAGTGCCTCTTAACTATGTTCTTTACCTATACACACTTTAATTCACTTTAGTTTCATGCATGTGTATAATTTTGCATACTATAAGGATCACCACTGCTTTCCCTTGCACATGGGTAGTAGTAGTCCTGCTTAGCTACTCTAACTATGCTAGGGGTATATGCTATGTAGTTTTGCCCCTTGCACTGGGTAGTAGTAGTCTTGCCCCTTGGACATGGGTAGTAGTAGTCTTGCTTAGCTACTTCAACTATGCTAGGGGTATGTGATATGAAACGGCTAGGGGTATATGCTATGAAACGCTTGATAATAAAATATTAGCTTTTTAGCAACATAGCATCTAGGAGACTGTGCGTTGTTTTTTTCATGAATGCACTATGTTTGCCTACCCTAAACATCGATTCGGTAAAACAACGGCACTCGGCATACCAATATCTTTGCCGAGTGCTGAAAAAGACCACTCGGCAAACTAACAAAACACACTCGGCAAAACAGAGACACTCGGCAAAAAACCGCCACGTGGACATCCGTCAGCTAGTGTGTCGGCCGTTAGGAGTTTGCCGAATGTCCGTTAGTGGCACTCGGCAAAGAAGTACGTTTGTCGAGTGTTTTCCTTTAGCACTCGGTAAAGAAATAATTTTGTTGAGTGTTTTTTTGGTACTCGACAAATAAATAATTTTTTTTCTCTTCTGACCTTGAAACTTTTTCTATTGTCCACATACAACATGTGGTACTCCATGTTAAGATTTGATATATTTCTGGATCTGTTTGTTATATTTAATTAATTTATTATATTTCAAGGAATTTTTTGGTATAAGTCAAATTTGAACTGCAAGTGATTCAAATAATAGAATAAAATGAGTAGAAAATGAGATTCATGTTATTGAGTCCGGTGTGTGTCCTTACCTAGGAAATGACAAGAAATTTCGAACATCTTGTTTAGGAAACACGACCATGAACGTGTGGCCGAATGGTTTTTAAATTCTAAAAAAAGCAAATGAAGTCTGAAAATCATGAGATTTGTCAAGATCTCATGATATCATATGTGGAGGTCGTGGTAAAAAATTGAGAAGGTTTCGCATAATCTATCACGTACGATGTTTACAAACCGAAGCATCTCAGAAGAAGAATCGTAGCGTTGAGAAGGATTCGGTAATATTTAGAGTCAAAGTGACGGTTGAATTGGGTTTGACTTCAAAACTTTTTGTATAGGCAATAAAGAACATAGAATGATTCATGTGTAATTTTGGTAATTTTTGGATCCGCTTGATAATTTTAATTTATTAAGTGCAATTATAGAATTTTAATTGATATAAATTGAATTTGTGCTATAACTGCATGAAATAATAAGTTTTTTTCTCTTCTGACCTTAAAACTTTTTCTACTATCCACATACAACATGTGGTACTCCATGTTAAGATTTGATATATTTCTAGATCTGTTTGCTATATTTAATTAATTTATTATATTTTAAGGAATTTTTTGGTATAAGTCAAATTTGAACTGCAAGTGATTCAAATAACAGAATAAAATGAG